AAACCTGTGAGTGACACGCCCTATTCAACTGACATTGTGCCTTCTATATAACGCCTAGGCTTGTGGATACTTGCGTATACCAGAGAATTTTATATTTAACAGGGAGCTTCAGCAAGATATTTCTCAAGGATATAACGTAGTTTTTACATTATGTAATTTATTCAAATTAGGATGACAAAGATGTTGTATGAGTGTGATTAAGTGTACAGCAGACCAAAAACAAAAACAAAAAGAAGGGGGTAGTGTGCGATAATTTGTTTGTAATTATTGGTGAATCTGACAGAGCTATTTAACTAAAGATACTATATATATATATATATATATATATTGATGAGAAATATATATATATATATATATAGATGAGAAATTAGTAACCTGGAGCTCAGTATTCCTTTCTTCCAATTATTTGTCTGGGGTCAGTTGGGTCAGGTTAAGGAGTCTTCAGTGAAGCAGAAGGAACTAAGGAGACACATATGGGTATACTTGGCTAGAACTGCCACTAAGTGTTTTGGGTCTCTGCTTCATTTGGCTAAGGAAACCATGTTTGGAACTTCATTTCTTCTTGACATTTGACCTGTAAAAAGCTTTGGTTTTTCTTCTTATTTGACTTCGTTTTCTTTAAGATTTATAGGTTTAGCTGAACTTGGGCTCTGCATGGAAAATGGAGTTTACATAGTTTATATTATGTATATAAACTAGTGATTTACATTGATTTACACATGATTGGTGCCTAATTTATTAATCAGCACAGTATGCAAATGTGCTGACGAGAAATCAGGATTTTAAAATAAGTTTTCCACAATATCCATAAACATTTCGCTGGTGTGAATGCTAAACCTAAACCTAGTATTAACACCGGCAGCCTTGCCAAGAGGAAAGTGATATACATTGCGGGAAAAACCAAATTCTTTCTTGAGGTTCAGTGGGTGACATTTGAACAGCATAGCTAAATGCAAACGAGAATGGTTTACTTTTCTTCCCACTGGCACGCACGTAAATGTGAACTTCATTTTGTGTCTAGTGAGATGTTTACAGATATGATGTCAACCATAATGGGGGATTTACATCAGTTGGGCAGACTGAGTCTCTGAGGGAGACACATTTTAAATACTTAAGCAAGAAAGAGAGTTCCTGAAGTAAGTTTGTGTTTCTTAACTTTGGATCTATCTCACATTTTTTTTTTTTAAAAAAATGGTATGTTTATTTGTCTTTAGAATTTTAATAGCTTCTTAGGTCAGATATAATATTACATTTATATTGTTATAAAAACTGGCAGCTTTCAGGGGAACCAGGATAAATCTAAGCTGAAAATTTGTTAAGAGTGAAGAAAAAACATGATAGCATGTGGTCTTATAGGCAAATTTCTTTTAAACAAATAAAAACAAGGTGGGCAAAAGGGGACCTGTGTCTCTCTAAACAAAGCATAGCTCTTTTTTTAAAAAAAAAAAAAAAAAAACTAAACCAAATTCAATACCTCTCTTCCCTTTAAGTTTAGACCGTTGTTCTATTTTTTCTTATAATACATACATTATTGTAAATATATCATTTGTAAAGATAAGATTTAAAACAATACATACACATATATATTATTATTTTGCACAAAAAAATCCCAAGCCTATAAAGAACAAAATGAAAAATTTAGGGAAACTATCCAATAGAAGCTGTCACATTGTAGTCAGCTCGGAGACGACCCTGTGACTGTGGGCTGAGAAGTAAGAATGCAAAGCAGTTTCATGCTGAGGAGTTTAGTTTCTGTAGGCAGAGGAGGTAAAGTCCATCTTTGGAGGGGAAACACACTTTTGTTTCTGTCCTCCAAGAACGTGAAAATCACGAGTATTGTTACAAGGTCTCTTTGAATAGCCCCAGTTGTCTATGAAGTTAAAGAAAAAAAATGTCCATGATGATAAGGGGACAAAATGTCTGTCTGACTTGGAAAAGGAGGCAAGAGCCAAGGGGAAAGTCCTTCTGAACAGAAAACACATCTACTTTCCCATAACCTTTCATGCTTTTTGGAGAAGGCGACATCACAAGAACATTCCTCCCACTAGGCAAAGTCTTTTTGATCAACAACTGCACAGAAGATAGGCAAGTTTGCAGTTGTTGAATTCAGGATAGTTCTCCTTCTTTGAGGTCTGCCCTGGGTCAAGGTAATTTCTACTTTTTTAAACTGAAATCTGAGGCTAAAATTTTGCTCTGTGAATGGTGTAAGTTCCCTTTTTATACAAAGCATATGGAATATATGAGTGGTTCCAATTAATGGATGCTTTCCATTCCTTACTACCCACTGTTTCCAATCACTTGTTTGTCTTCAGTAATTTGATTTCCAACAAATGAGATCTCTGGAGGGATTTACAGCAATGTGATGATTTTTTTATGTTGAATATATTGCATTTTGGTGTAGGTCTTCCAACCTTATGGTGATTCTAATCTTCCTTCAGAGAACACTGTCTTCAGTGTTCCATATGACTTAGAAATTCTCAAACCTGTGTGGTATATGAGGCCCAGGGTTTTTCCACAGGAAGAAGAAGTTAAAAAAATAAACTTAGATCCTGCAGGAGATATGGGCAAACATTACATTTAAAAGTATCTTTAGCTGTTTATGGTTCATTATAATAAAACCAAAATGGCAAATGGTATAGACATCATCAAGAAGTCTTCCTAAAGGAGAGACTACTCCCAAAAAACCAAGAGTTTGTCGCTATAATGGTATGGGGTCACTGAAGACCAGGTGTATGATTAAAGCCTGTGATATGTCACAAGTATCTATTTCTGAAACTAATCCTATACAACGGTGAATTAACTCCTTTCTCCCTTCTATCTAGACTAGCATGCACACTTCTAAGGTTTTATTTAAGAATTTGGATGCCTCTTTAACATGGAAAACAATGTAAGGTTCTTGTACAAAGAGGACCAGACTGCTAGAGAAATTCTTGACTGCCAAAAGATCATATTGGAATATGGCACATCTTCCCTATGTTATAATAGCTACATTCTTGGGTAAAAATTAATTTCCTATCTCTTGATACTCAATAAATCTTCTTACCCATCCTAACCTCTGTCTGCTCTCTGTTTCATGTCACAACTGCAAAACTATGAAGAAAGGATGTGACAGGTTTATAAACTAAATGATGTAGCTCCATAGAAGAAATATTAAATACTGCTCAAATTCCTCTTGTTCTTCCTTCATTCCTGCACCCTTCCCTTCTTTTCTCCTTTCCTTTCTTCCTCCTTTTCTTTCATTTTGTGTCATGTGACAACCATTTCAAAGGTTAGAAAACTTGATGACCTTCATTTGGCTCTGTGAGACGACATCCCATTATGGTCTCAGCAATAATCTTCCATCCTTTCCTAAAGTGAATTGCTTTAGATGCTGCTATAGCCTAAGTGAAAGCTGCAGATGGTTTCCTACCAAGGATACCCACATGCAGAGAGGCAGCCTTCCATGGAAGACCTCCCCTAGGAAAACACAGCTGGTGATGCTGAGTGTTAGGATGCTCACACAGCTTCTGCCTGAATTCATCACAAGTTGCTCAGATCTTATGGTTAAGCAATTAGCTCAGGTTTCATTGTTAGTGTCAAGTTGACTCTCACAGATGTAAGTCTAAGTAGAGTAGAGAAGGTGAACATGATCTGCAAACTAGTGGCCGGGCTTTCGGATACTGAACAGCCCCCATGGGCAGTGGTGCCACACACACAATGAAGCAGGAACCTAACAAAGCATTAGTCTAGAACTCAAGGGTGATAATCTATAAAGGAGAAAAAAGCCTGGAATTCCTATTTTGTGATGGTCTGTACTTTACATTAGAGGCTGCCGAGTCTCTACAGAAGGGACTTGGGCATCTATCTACTTTCCATGTCTCGCTCACAATCTTTTATCTGAGAGGCAACAGGGGTATTATGGGACAAATGCAGTGTTGTCTGAGGATTAGTGAGTGGACAAAGCAGGCCTGCTTTCCCTTGGGAGTTACCACTCAGAAACCTACTTGTTTCTGGATACCTGCTCCATCAATGTCATTCGTTTCTGTATTGCGGCTCAACCTATATAAAGCTAGGAAATTTATGATTTCCCCAGGCATGTAAAGTAAGAGTTAAATCAGAAACTGTCTTCTCCTAGGTCACATCATTTGGGTCATGGATCTGTTCCCCATCTGCTCACCCCATTTGATAGTAGGCACTTTCATTTACAGTGATATTCTGAGTGACTCCAGACTGGGTTTGGAAAATGGGACTAGGAGGGATATGGGGTCCTGCCCACAGAAGGAGCACAGCTTGGTTTGAATGTGCACTGATGTTATGTGACCGCCATGAACGGGGGAGGGATTCTGCTCCTTGCCTCCCACCCAGCCATCTCCCCCAGCAACTTGTTAGAGCCGCACCTTACAATTACAATGCAGGACAGTATCTACAGCACAATGAGTCTATGTACACATGGACCATTCCCTTGGCATGCTTTAGAGAGAGACACATACACGCTCACACACATGTACACCTACGTGAGAGCGAGAGACTTGAGCACACACGCACACAGTGAAGAAAACAAAAATGGCACTTCCTAGCATTTGCGGCATGACTAGAGTTCTGAGTTGCTGGGGCAAAGAGAGATGGGGGTAGAGAAAAAGGGAATATTTGGAATGGATGTGTTTGGGATAGACCACTCTGGGAGGGGAAGGGGGTAGTCTCAAAAGTTAGAGAGATGGTGGAAGTATGGGAGCCTGAGAAAGGCTCTATGTAGGTTTCCTCCGATAGGCCAAAATGGCTACACATCAGCTCAAATGAAAAACAGAACAAAACGATAATGGAAATATAAACATCAAAGGCAAGACCTTCTTCTTTTCCCCACAGATGAAAATGAATGAAGGAAGGATAAAGTGTGTGTGGGGGAGTTAACATCAATCTGGTACTTCTTGAGTAGTCTCATTTGTGTAACATCAGACGTCTTTAGCATTACGGAGTCTTGACACAGCAGTCATTTGCTTAGAAGATAGACACATATTCTGGTAGAGGTTTTCCCACCCTAAATTATACTCAAATTTTTATTGATGGATCTTAAAATTGTTTTTAGTGTTGCATTTTCTTCATTTTCATATTCCCCCTTCATTTATAAACACACAGACTTGAGAAATAATAGTCTCCCCCCATTTTGCACTCTCTCTCTCTCTCTGTATCTGTGTGACACATTTTTGTGTGTTTTGTGATTATTTTTAAATTTTTATTCTATTAACATTTGCTGAGAAGGCAGAGCAGGGATGCTGCCAGCAGCCACAGTGGTACGGCCAGACTGATGGATCCGTTGATTCCTCTCACCGACCCGGGTCCTACAGAGCAAAAAAGAAAGAAACAGAATAAGCATCTTCTGCCGAGGCTGTTTGAAAGCTGACATCAGAGGCAAGGCGTGGCCAGGTACTGATGTTCAGCTGCTCATGCTTGTTATGGTTCCCATCTTCTAAGTCGCATCCTCTCTGAGGTACAAGTACGTGAAGCTGTCTAGTGTATTTTGAGTGTGAAACAGCTCCTGCTTGAGAAAGCTGCTAAGGTGGCTGTCATGACTCTGTTGAGCCACCTTCCTCTGGAATGCTCTCTGCACAATTACTGTGAAGCCAATACGGATTACAATTCCATGCACAAGCATGGGTGTAGATCCTCGAGGAGTCCGGTACAGGCTCTAACTGCAGACTCATCACAGCAGCTCCATCAATCTCAGATGGGACCAATCATCAATCTCTGGCTTCTTTTTCATAGGAAAGAGGCAGGATTTTTTTTTCTTTAACACGGCAGTGTTTATACATAGATGGTGCCTTAGATAAAATCAAACAAGCAACGCCCTAGATTCTTACGAAGAACCAGAGCTCATTCTGCCCAAAACAAAATCAAAGACAAGAAAACCAAACAAAATGGTGAGGCTGGGCTTCAAACCTGGGGCGACTGAGACAGATCTGTTACTCTGGGTCACTGTCATGGCCAGTGGGAGGAGAATGTGGGAGATAGTGGGGATGAGATGAGAGGGATGGAGGTCTGTGTGGGGGTGGTATGAGTAATCCCGAGGCAGAAGTCGTAGGTCTAGCTTAGAGCTTATCACACACGCTTCTAGTTACATTTCCTTCTGTGTAGCTATGGTCATATTTCACTGAAAGAAAAGTTTTTTAGAAAGATTTTTTTTCCTCACTGAAGAGACTTTGGTTTTAAGGCTATATACTTAGGTGACATTCAAAATAGAAAATGACTTGACTGTAATTATGGGTCACTTAGAAAATTTATGGGCACATACACAGAGTCTGTGTGAGTAAGTGTGCATGTATGTGTAAAACTGATGGTATGCTTCTACAATGGAAACATCTTCAGGTATATGGCTTTTCACCAAACCGTTAAAAATGTATCAGAGTGTATTCAGGGTGCATAACACAGAAACTTGCTGAATTCAAGAATGGATTCCCAATCTATGTTCTATAGAGACAGTGAAAACAATAATAAGAATAAGACAAAACCAATAAAGAGCTGTACAATACCACAATGTGTTGGATGTATATTTTGTAAATAAAACTGTAAATATAGATGGACAACTGTGGGCTTACTGTAACAAAATATTTTCCAGTGAGATATCTAAGGAACAGAGAAATTACATCACAGTACACATTTTCACAGCTCATCGGGAGGGAGGGCTGCACATTTAGCCTTGTTGTCTAATTCTAGAGTCTTTGTCACCACCACATGGCGAATTTCAACAGTGAAAAACATCAGCGAGTGTCGTGGTCAAATGTTTGGTGAGTAAAACTCAGAGTGGTTAAAACAATGGCTAGCTAGTCCAGACAAAACAACAAGAAGATATAGAAAGTACCAGAGAGAGACAGAGAGAGAGACTGATAAGATATTTTGGCAACACAACAGCGCCACAGAATATTATTTAACATGAAAATAGAAGCATATGCAAACATTGAGCCTTTCAGAATGAGCTTTGACTGGTATAAAGCTGTGAAAACAGAATTTAAAAGTTAAATATCCATTCTGTGATTTCCTGAGTGTCTATGGTATCATATTAATACGAGGTGTTCTGACCACCTTCAGGGTCAGCCTCATGAGGATGAGGTTTGAAGGACCTATAATGATTGTTCACCTGCCTCTGGTGTCTAGGCATCCTGAGACTCCATGCAGTGTCTACTCTGGCCTCCTCCTCTCCTCCACCAAGATTTCTGAGTGCTTGAGACTGTCAATCTCCCAGGGCACCTGTCCTGGTAGTAAGCTTTCTTCTCCTATCTTTAGTGCTTGTCTCTATATTAGGCATATGCTCTTCCTGGCACATTTGTCTGTATTCATGTACCAGCAAGGCTTTCAGAATAGAGAAAAGCTTTGCAAAAATTAAGGTCTTATATGCCAAAATGATTTCTGTTTTGCTCTAGGGATAGTGTGAAATGGATTTTCAAAAGAAAAATAAAAGCACAACTTTTTTTTTTCTGTAGTCTCATTTTTAGTACCAGGACAGACTACATTGACATCTTAGAAATGAGTAGTGACTATTGACAGCTAAGAAAACTGGTCTTACCATTTTATTCAAATGGTGGGAAATATTTAAGACAATAGAATTCTATTATAGAAAAGCATAATATATGCTCCTAACAAGCTAGATAAGTGCATTTTCATGCCTAGTTATGTATTATCTAAATCTATCCATCTACACAATCACAGGGAAGTTTACATGCTGTCTAAATACTTATGCATACATGTATGAAGTATTCAGATTTTACTGGTCTTTTGAAATGCATAGTACAGAATGAACTTTTACTTTCACATACTGTTCTATGTTGTAATAGGACTCCACACTACGCATGTCAGTAGTATTTCATTGTACTCCTAGTAGTCTTATTACACAACTGAAATGCATTGTATACACCTGGAAAAGATACCTTTGCCTCTATCAATTATTATTTATTAAGTTCTATCATGAAGCTATTTAATGTGCCTATGTAGCTTACTCTTGTCATAATTGATTTTTGAGAGTAAATAAACAGAATTGAGGAAGACTGTAATTGGGTAACAGTTGGAGAATTATCACGAGTTAGGTGTGCAATTATAGATGCATATGACTATATAGGAGACTACTCCAGGAATGTCTAGTTAGGGAAGAATAATCCATAGAATCATTAATTATGTTTTAGTTCATGCTTATGAAATTCTGCTTATTTGTTGATATGAAAATGATAACTTTAGTTCCAGTGCCAGATGGCCATACTCAGCAACTGCTTTCATACGCTGACAGATACAATGAAAGCACAAGTTTGAAAACATGGCTTAGCCTTATGAATAGATAGGCAACTAGGAATTCAAAGGCTTTTTTTTTTTACATCGTTTTCTTATCACAGGCAATAATCACGCCATGATATTTAACGATTTTCTACATGGTATTTATGGCACTTGGTAATATTCAGTATAGTAGTCACAAGGCAGATATTCTGCTTTCGGAAATAAATGGAATACCAATCCAAATCAAAGATGTTTATTAATTGAGTCGGACTTAAAGAAAAAAACCGATCTGTCTATCATCTATCTATCTATCTATCTATCTATCTACCTACCTACCTATCATCTATTTATCTATCTGTGTATGACTGTGCCTATTTGCATGCCATAACATGTCTCTGGTCATAGGATAACTAATGGCAGGGACCAAACTCAGGTTTTGGGCTTGGCAGCAGGTGACTTTACCCATCAAGCCACTGAGCCTGTATTGACTTGGACCTTTTAAGATTTACCAGTGAAAGACAAAATTCAGCTGCAGCAAAATAATAAATCATAAGTCGCCATTCTCAAGGTTGTCACCAAAGTGAACGTGAGAGTGAATCAAGATGAATACTAGATTGTGCCTTGTCAGGCCCATGTTTATAAAAGGACAGAACCTGTGCTCCACTGCAAAGTTTGTTCAATATCCTGAAATTGAAGAAACTTTTTGGCAAGTTTCTCTTTGTTGTAGGATTCTGAGCTCATTGCTTTTTCCTTTTTAGTAAAGTCTCAAGGAGCAGGCAAAGTATTTTCTTCAAACACCTATTTTGGACATGCTTCTTAATTCATAGGGCAGTGGTTTCCTTTTGTTTTTCCATTGTGACTGGATTTATTTAAAGTCTCTTTAACCATGTCAGCAGGAATCCCTGGCTGTTAACTTCAGTCGGTAGGAAATTAGAGTCAGTTTTCGTTTGTGTTTCAATTATGCAAAAAGAGAAAGTTACTTTTGTAATTGTTGAAAGCTGGTGGAACAACTAAAGTAAAGCAAAACCCTAAACAGTTTATGAAAAAAAAATGCTGTAAAATGGAGGCCAATAATCTGTAAAATCGCCAAAAGTTCTGTGTGATCAGTGAGGGCAAGGCTTTTTGATGGCCTGGGAAGCTAGTGAGATAACATTGTCTCTGGTGCCACCTGCTGTCCATCTACTGCTAGTACAGGTTCCTCTGCGTGGTGGTTGAATTGAGGATTGAAGCCTATAATCCTCAAGAGGAGAGATGAGAAGAGAGGTAACGTTAGTTATGAATACCATACCTTAAATGCAGGCTCTCCCTGCATTTACTCTGTACCCTCTAGAAAATGAGATTTTGGTCAGCTGAAGCTGTCTTTTTCCTCAAAGCAGGTGTGGAGGTGCATGATTGGAGCCCAGTACTTGGGAGGTAGAGGCAGGAGGACAAGGAGGTTATGACCAGATTGGTACGTACAAGTTTAAGGCCAGCCTGAGATACATTAGACCCTGACTAAAAAAGAAAAAAAGAAAAAAGAAAACAAAGGAAAAAAATCAGAGTAAAACAAATAAACCAAAATCAAAAAACAATATCAAGTACTTTCACACACCATTTATGAAAAACTTAGTTACCACTTATAGTCACGCTGATACTTTATCGTGATGATATTTGAATAAGACAAACTATACCTTATTCATCACCCACATCAAAGTCCTGAAATTTGATGTGTGCCGCTAGGCAAATTATTGATTAATTTGCAATCATATTGGAAAGGGAAAGGGGGCTAAAGAAGCCATCACTATTTTATGCTTTACTGCTTCAAAGAGTCCTGTCTTAGGAGTATGTTCTTGGCTACCTCTTATCTGCTAGATAGAATGACCTGCAAGGACAGACCAGCAACAGGGCATGGATCTGAGCAACCATGAAGCCTCCTGTCTTTTGGATGCTGGATGATGTAAGTCCCCAAAGAGAATGTTGCTATTGGTGATGATCATGGTTGTTTCATTCCTTTTGTGACTCAGAAAGGAAGCTATTATCACAAGCGACAACTAACAGTCAAGTTGATTACCACTGGGACTCGAAGGAAGGTGACATATGACCCCACCACTGTTTCTTTTATGTTTGTCTAGGGATACAAAATGAGAGGTTGATCTAGTGTATGTAGAAGGTGGACTAGTCAGAAGTAGTTGCTGGTTGCATTTTTAGGGTCCATTTAATGACACTTTGACAAGCTTGTCCTGCCCTTGTAAAGATAATTATGTAGACTGTGTGTCACATGGTTGATGGGAATACATGGAAACCATGAAATAGCATCTTTTTTTTGGGATGGGGGAGTCGGCAGCCCAGGTAAGCTACAGCTAGTGATGCTTCAAGGAGTGGAAAGAATTGAGGCAGGGTGGAAACGTTAACTGCTTCCATGCTTCATCTCACCAATTGCTACTAAGCTGGTATGTCCCATGTGTTTGTCAGACCCAGCAATGTATTTGCTTGAATAGTCAACAAGCATCTGCAAAATTCTGAGAGCTCTGCCACTGACTAATGACCAGTATACAAAATGAGTTCTGTGGGATTAACCATGCACACTTAAGACAAAGCATGTAAGGGATGGGAGAGGGTACCGAAGGGAGCAGAGTAACTTGCTTCATCCCGGGGATTTAAAGTAAGTGACTTCTAGAAGCACTACAGGGGCCATGGCTCAGATGGATGGTTCTGTGTTAATAAGACAGTTCATAATCTGTTGCCAACTGTGTTATTGAAATTTCTTATCACAAATCACAACACTAAATCAAACTCAAGTGCATAAGAACACAATGTATTGCTGTGGAATCTTAACTAATGTCTAGAAGGTATTTATAAACAGGAGGCATACCTTTTTGCTTGAAGTGTACGGTGGTGCCAATTTCTAAAAAAGAAACATTTAGCAAAACAAAAACAAATGAAAATATTTGTCAACTGAGAATAAGCATGAGGGTGAGTTTGTCACTGTCCACTAAAGAAGAGTGAAAAGGAAGGGAACAGGGCAACAGGAGGAAGGTTGATAGAGACCGAGTGACAAGCAAATGGAAAGAAACCTTTCTTAGACTAAATGAGCAATTAGTAGTTACGAAAAATGATGCCACAAGCTATGCATATAGACAAGTACAAGGAATCCAGCATGGAGTGTGAATTTAGTCTTGACTGCACCGTATGCAACCATAGAATGTGTCTGATACCCAGCCCGTCCCTGCCATTCTGTCCCCATTCTCATTAATTGAACCTTACTTAAATCACTCCTAATCTAACAGGCAAGTCCACTCCAAACTCAAGCTTCAGATTTGATGGGTCATCTACTAAAAATGTTCTCCTACTGTTGGCTCAGTCACTCCACTCAGTCAACATTGCTGTTAAAAACTCACCAACACAAGTGATGCTGCCCCGTCACTTTCCCAAAGCCAGTACTCATTTCTTACTGGTCATCAGGCTAAGTAGTACTTAGCCCCTCCAAGCACGGCATGACGTCGCACATTTACTCACCAGATTACAGTTTGTCTCCTCACTAAGGTGCCACCAGGGGCATCTACAATGCATGGATCATTAAACATCAAGCATAGTACTTAGTGCAGACCATAGGACGTGGAAAGTTTCAGAAAACACCTGTTGCAGGTATCAATAAATGTCAAGGTTGAACAGGGTCAGATTTGTTAAATATCTGGATTTCTTTCTAAATGTCTTTGCCAAATACTTCAAAAGTCTCTTGTATCTTTGGAAGGAAGCAAATATAATTTCTATGGGTACCATTTCTATTTTAGGACTAACTAAATGACTGATTAGATATGGAAGCCCACACTGGCTTTGAGATCCAGATTTTTTTTTCTGTGTGTGACCATCAGGTCCCAGACTTGCATCCCTGAGTAACACAAGCTAGCAGAGAATGTAAAACATCTGATGCTTTCAGCCACAGAGAGCTTTCAGTACAATATGGTCCTGCTTCCAATTTATTCTCAGGTTTTAAGGCCTCCAGGGTAAAGACTCAGTCCATAGCTTTATGTCTGTGGCTCTATTTGACACAGACTGTCTAGTGTCATAAATTTCCATCACATAATAGGCTTTCCTTTATACTCCCTGAAACACACTTCTTCCCCTGAAGTACTACAGTATCTCTAATAGAGTCTCCATCACCTTTCAGAAAGGGATTATCACATCCAGAGAGAAGCCTTTCTCTGTCTCTTTGACAGCATCAGTTTTGTTATTTCCTACCACACTTGTCTCTGTCTTAATTTCCAAAGTGTCTGTCTGATGCTTACATTAATGCCTGCCATCCTCCCTGGACTCTGAATTCATGAAGTCTGAGGCTCTGTCTCCTACTATTTGATACTGTAGTCCTGCATATGGCAATCACTCCAAATGTACAATATTCCAAAATAGAAGATCTAGAATCTTTGAAACATGAAATGCACAAACTTGTGTCCCAAATGTTTCTTACCAATAAAAACAGGGAATCCAATTCAGCTCGCAGGGCTCAGCTCTTTGAAACCAGGCCTGCAAAATCACCAAGGTTCAGGACAACCTACTAATGTCCTTCCTTGCATATTGTGACATATTGTTTATGATATGATAAAGCATGCCTGGAGATCAGAATGCAAAGCTAGGCATAGCCATAGAAGCTGGGCAGTGGTATAACATATCTTTAATGCCAGGACTCAGGAGACAGAGTCAAATGAATCTCTGTGAGTTCAAGGCCATCATGGGGTGCATGAGAGTGCAGTCTAAGAGAGAAACAGAGCTTGGGCCTTTAGTCCCAGTACTAAAGAGACTATAAGGAGCCCAGTGCAGTCTCAGACAGCAGCCTGAGATTTGGTGAGGAGTAGTGCAGTCTGGAGAAGCAATCTGAGGTTTGGTGGATCACCCATTTAGTGATTAGCATTCCTAATGATAAGGGGTCTCTGAATAGCTTGGATGCTTTGCTTTTCTGATCTTCATCTTGGATCCCAATATGTGTTCCTGGCTTTATATTGTTCATACTACACTTACGGATTTTCCATCTGTCTACAGAAAGTAGTCATAAGGAGAAGCCTTCAAACACTGTAACATTTTCTGGCATCAGTTATGATGATTATAAAGAAGAGCTTGATTATCCCAGTGTCTGAGCTTATAAATGATTGGCCACAGCTCATCACTAGCAAAGCTAATGCCAACCAACCTGTCCCTAAGTTTGTAGGTGAGATGGTTTCCCTGAACGGGTCAGTTCCAGGAGGAATGGCTCAGAATGTCCTTGTGTTCTGATGGCTCGTGCTGTTCACAGTGGAGGATGCCCAGAGACACCAGCGCTGCTCTGACCCTTTTATATGTGAAGAACACTACCTGTAGACAGTCCAGTTGACAAATGCATCATACTGTAAGTATGGAGTAGATTTCTTCCTAGGAGCCAGCTGCTGATGCCAATCACTCAACAGGCTCTAGACCCTTGAGGGAACCATCTTCAAGGGAAGAATTGTAGGTTTCCCTTTTCAAATCTGGTCTACGGGCTTTGAGGGAAGAAGTTCAGGGCAGGCAGGAGGTCCAGTGACTGTGCTTAAGCTAGGAAATGTATCTTAACCTTTCAATGCCCTAGTTTTACCTTTTGTACACGAGTTTTATGAACCTGGCACTCTCTAATCGGTTCTCTGGGTTAGATCGTTGCTTAGTGTGCCATTCTTGCACCCAGCACACAATTGAATAAGAGTGGTTGTTACCATGTTGTTGTGAAATCCTTCTCAAGAGGATTATTGATGCCTTTTTTTTTTTTTTTTTTTTTTTTTTTTGTAGTGAAAGAAAGATACCCCGATCAAAAAGCCATGGAAATGTGTGTGTTAACAGTATGATGCGTAAAACACTAGAGAATCCTAGCACATGAAAAACAGATAGGATGGGGGAGTAATTAGGCAACATATTCTTTAGGATGCAATTGGCAATATACTCCCAGGAACCAGCCACTGAGACAGGCTTGGGTGAGAAGCTATGTGTTCTAAATGAGTATGTTGGGGGGGGGGACAATTCCCCCCTACTCTTCAAAGAAAGAGAGTTTCAGGAAATATATTGAAACACTATCAGATACTTTACTCTATGAAGCAAGTGTGAGGGAAAAACGCACACTTGAATGTGTGCATACAATAGTGCTTGAAATGTTTTTAAAAGACAAACTAAATGTCCAGTTATATTTCAGACACACCTTCCTGTTCTGCGAATAAGTTAATTTCTTTGTGAAATTGTAAAGATCTTTAAACTAACTTCTAACATTCTTTGTGAAAATGGGCTACGCTCATGATTTTTGCAAACTATTTCCTACTCATTCTCTTGGGGAACAGGTTAGTTTCTTTCCTCCTTCCTTCCTTCCTCCCTCCCTCCCTTCCTCCCTCCCTCCCTCCCTCCCTCCCTCCCTCCCTCCCTCCCTCCCTCCCTCCCTCCCTCTCTCTCTCTCTCTCTCTCTCTCTCTCTCTCTCTTTCTTTCTTTCTTTCTTTCTTTCTTTCTGTTTCTTTTTGAGGAAGAAAATCGGGTGGTTTTGAGCTTGTTTGAAAACCTGGTTATGTGCTGCCATCTTGTGGTTCCAGCAGGACCTGTGCCTCGGTGCTGTTGGAAGGCATCATTTCTGTCCACCTGGTGGCAGCAGTGAGAAAAACGACGTGTAGCTTCCCTACTGTCGGAGCTCCTATGAAAAACTCCTCTTTAAAAGAGGCCTCCCTGTTATTACAGACCAGTTTTTAATCTGCTCGGCAATGCCTGGAAATCATCCTTTTCCCTAGTGATGTGCTCTTATGTTCTTGACCAAAGCTGCGCACCTGGAAGGATTCCCTAAACACACACTCCTGAGACTATAAGCACAGTCTCTGATTTTTATGTCTTTCGTGAAGATTTCTCCCTACACATTGATCTTGTTTCAGAAACATATGCCAAACAAGCGATCACAGAATGCAGGTTAGAAGTGTAAACAGATACGTCTGTAGTAGGGTAACAGACAAAACTTGGGGGGATTCTAGTACTAAGAGTGTCCTAGACATTCTCAGCGTCGTCAAATGCTGACTTTTTAACCCCCCAGGAGGTGGCAGAAGGAAAAGAATTTAACACTAAGAAAGGAAGGTGCTTGAAAAAATTTGTTTCTTCTGATTATGCCAATCTGTCTTTTGACTTTCAGATTCTTTGTAAGTGGCTACCTGAGAAAAACACTGCACTATCCAAAACACCCAAGAGCCTCTCTCTGGGCATAGACAAACGTTGTCCTCTTGTTTACCATGTCCTCAAGCAGCTATTTCTCAAGCACCAAGTATGTGGACATGTTTGCTAAACATCTCCCAGCTCAGGGCGCCAGTGAGTTAGTGAATGATTTGCTAAGATTGCAGAGACCAGCGCAGCTAAGGATCTAGCAAGGAGAAATAGTAGTGTTGGAGCCAGAACCCCTCAAACGCCAAGCAAGGGCCTCACTGGAGTTCAGTCATTTCCAGAGCTGCATCAAGAGGTCTGCTGAGTCGCTCTCACATACTGGACAGTATAAAACGTTCTCCACCAAAAACAAAAACAAACAAATGACCCCCCCCCAAAAAAAACAAACAAGCAAACAAAAAAACCAAAAAAAAGAAAAAAAGAAAAACACACACACACACACACACACACACACACAAAAGTTCATGTCCCCTGAGCTGATGCCAGTTAAAATACAAACTCATGTCAGGGGTCAGAAAATGTATTCTTCATTTTCTCTCTGGGATTTCACTCTTGGATCGCTCTCTTTCCCTGTATTCTTTCTTCCCCTCCGTCCTTTCTCCATCCCCTCATCTCTCCTCCTAAAGTGAGAACTTTAAAATATCTATCTAACTTGTATTAAGAGAATTTTCTTGTCATCTTAGGGAACTTCTGTCCCTTATCAGATACAAAAAAAAAAAAAAAATACT